AAACTCTAAATATAAAAAATCAAAACAACACTTAAGGGGAGCATTGATTCATCCAAATCTTTTTCTCTCTTTTTTGAATTTTTTACAAGATTTTATTTATTTTAGAGAGAGAGAGAGCATGAATGGGGGGAGGGGCAGAGGGAGAGCGGGAGAGAGAATCCCAAGCAGACTCCCCGCTGAGCATGGAGCCCAGTGTGGGGCTCAACATGGGGGTTGTTGATCCCAGGACACTGAGATCATGACTGGACCTGAAATCAAGAGTTGGATGCTTAACCCACTGAGCCACCCAGGCATCCCTCTCTCTCTCTTTTAAAAGAAACATATAAGGGCGCCTGGGTGGCTCAGTCGGTTAAGCATCTGCCTTCAGCTCAGGTCATGATCTCGGGATCCTGGGATCAAGCCCCATGTCGGGCTCCCTGCTCAGCGGGGGGCCTGCTTCTCCCTCTCCCTCTGCCCCTCACCCCCCCGCTCATGCTCTCGCTGCCTCTCTCTGTCTCTCTTAAATGAATTAAAAAAAAAAAACTTTAAAAAAATTTTAAAAAAATCAAAGAAACATATAAGTATCATCCGGGGGCATTGATAACAATCTTACCTCAGTTGTTAGCTTTTTTAGAGGCCAAATTATGTTGGTCACTATTTATGCTCTTAGGAAGATAATTATCAATCACATATTCAAATGTTGTGAACCAACCATATAACCCCTCTGTGTTAGAGTTCTCCAGAAAAACGGAACCAACAGAACATGTATACATAGAGATTTATTTTAAGGAATTGGCTCATGCAATTGGGGAGTAGCAAGTCCCAAATCTGCAGGATGGGCTGGCAGTCTGGAGACCCAGGGAAGAAGGAGCCAGTGTTGCGGCTCAAGTCCAAAGGCAATCTGGAGGCAGAATTCTCTCTCCCTCAGGGGAGGTACTATTTTTGTTTTAAGGCTTTCAACTGATTGGATGAGGCCCACCCACATTATGGAAGGCAATCTGCTTTATTCAAAGTCTACTGATGTAAATGTTAATCTCATCTAAAAAAACACCTTCAGAACTGACTTCTAGACTAGTGTTTGGCCAAATATCTGGGCACCATGGCCTAGCCAAGTTGACACAGAATCAACCATCACATTGGCCCCACACCATAGGGTGGTACTTGGGCCCTCATCTGGGGTCTTACATTTGGCAACCCCCAGGGAGCTGTCTCCAACAGAGGCAAGCCCAGGTCTCCATACGCCTACAGGGTGGCTTGGCCATTTTAGAGATGGGGAAACCAAGTCCTAGCAAAAAGTTCCACGAATTGGCCCCAGGATCAAAACAGGCCTGGGGTAGAGTCAGGACAAAATCCAACCTCATCAAATGGTAGTTCCCAGCTCTTTCCACTGCAACTTTTGGCTCCAGCGGGACCTGAACTCGAGACTCCTAGGGGACGTTCTCATTTCACTTCCTATTTGGAATATTAAAGCCAAGCCTGAGCGCATTCAAACCATAAACTATTAGGGAAGAAAATCACCTTATTTCCTGGATGCGCCTTCGCATTCCCATCCCTGGCCCTCCCATGAGGCAGGGCTCCCCGCCCAGCGCACCACACACAGACCCATCCACAGAAGGACTTCTCTTTGAAAAGTGCTTTATTTCAACACGATCTAAGTTGGGTGCATTAAAACTTATCAAAATGTTACAGACATTTATGGCTCCCTCCTGAGGCCTTGTCAAATTATGTTATGATACCTAGATGTGTCTGTTTACAAGTTCAGAACCAAACATTGAACCAGGTCATGTACCATTGTTGAAGGCAAGTTATGATGAATGAAAGAATACTTCACAAAGCTAACACAAGGGGGGAAACCCTGAAGAAACACTAGCAGTAACACACCAGAAGTCATCAGCCTGGGAAGCAGGGAAGGCTCCAAGGGCAAACTGAGGCTTTCCCTTCCCAGCTTGTCCACATCTTGTGCTTGGTTCAAACACAGGGGGCACTGTAACCTCCCGTGGCAGGGTAAACGCTTTCAGTTCTGCCTGAAAGAAGGGGGTGCCACGTTCATCTGTATCTCTGCCTCTCTCTGGGAGATCATTTCTCATCTCACCTGACTCAAGCAAGACTTTGTGTCAAACAACTTAAGTAGCAACTCAAAAATGTGTGCTGCGGCCTCAAGGATGCTGGCGACCTCTCCTGCTTGCTATCTCAGCCCCCACATCATGGTTTGGCCCCGAGACCCTGAAATTCCCTCGCTCATAGAAAATTTCTCTCTTGGCAATATATCTATGACACCATATTCTCCATGCTATGGAGCTTGGCGGGTTTTTTTGGTGGTGGGGGAGGGAGAGAGCTTTTCTTAAGAGAGTTTCTAGCCCTACTGGGACCCATCGCTCCTCTTTGCTCCTGACACTCCGAAATAACCACCCAACCCTGCAGAAAAGAATTTGTGCCAAGATGTTTTGCATCAGAGAACAGATTTGTGTGTGTGTCATTTTATTTCAAAGTCTTTCTTTTTTTTTTAAAGATTTTTTATTTATTTATTTATTTGAGAGAGAGAATGAGACAGAGAGCATGAGAGAGGAGAGGGTCAGAGGGAGAAGCAGACTCCCCGCCGAGCAGGGAGCCCGATGCGGGACTCGATCCCGGGACTCCAGGATCATGACCTGAGCCGAAGGCAGTCGCTTAACCAACTGAGCCATCCAGGCGCCCTTATTTCAAAGTCTTATCTACAATGGTGTTAAAATGCCTTTATCTGTCTGCAGGAGAGAGTATTGTTTTCTTTCTGGTAGGGAGGAGGGAAGGGTGCAAATATTTCTCCTTGAAATCTCAGACCAAAACCTCAGCTTTTGGTCCCGGCGTTTTTCTTGCAGGTGGATGGCTAATCTGAGCTCCTCCCTTACTCAACCTCACTTAGAATTCAAGTCCATCAGCCTGGAGCCCAGTGCACACATTCCTCACCAGCCCGCACAGGCAAGCCTGCTGTTTGTGCTTCTCAGTCCCTCCCCAAGATACCGCCCCCCCATTTAACTCATCACCGGCCCACTCATGTGATCACTGAAAATGTGACCTTGTGCTTAATTCCACCATCACCTGGGGGAACGGACCCCCTTCCCAGCCAGATGGACTCAGGCTTTTCCTTCATTTGATCACCTTGTAACACAAGCCCCTAGAAAAAGAAAGCCAGATGTGGCTATCCTGCTTTTTACAAGTTAGGAAAAAAACCTATAAATTGGCCTTTTGTTCTTCACATGATTTCAGGTTCATTGCACGCAATTACATAAACCCACACAAATCAGTAGAGGAATTCAAAGCTGCAAAGCCATGTGATACCAGTGAGAAAATCCGGCTCCACACTTCGGAGAAGTGTCTCTGTTTCAGGCACTGCTATTTCAAAGGACCTTTCCAAAATTCCTGATCGGGCTACTAGGATGTGAGAAACGATCTCTAAACAGGGTGGGCCAAAATGGAAAAGTACGGTCCGTGGTAAGTGGAATGTATCCTGTAAGATGCAATTTCCCCTGACTTCTACTCTGACCTCCCCGCCCCTCAACAATCTTTAAGAAGCCAGGTCTACCTTAGTATCACTTTCTCAGAAAGGAAGCTGGCAAACCTAACGTTTTGCAACATTTCCATATTTAAACTATCGTAGTGCTAGTGCAAATCAAAGAGAACTTTTATAAACGAGAAATAGCTGTCCAACAAAAGTTAGTAGTTAGTAATTTGCTCTGTGGAAATTTTTCTGCCTAGCCCACCAAGGGGAATTGCTGGGGTCAACACAGGCTTTGAACATTCAAAATAAAAGTAACTGGAAGAGAAGTTTCTTAAGTCATCTTCTCAAATGCAAAACTCAGGAAGTGTGTTTGCATTCACAAACCCGCTCTTTCCCATCTGTAACAAAGGAAGCCTCTCCCCCTGCCCCCGGCTTTTCTGTGCATTTTGCAGCGGCCCACCGAGGTGTATGATTGAGACTAAAGCCTCCGGATTTCCAGTCCATGCCCCATAGGGCTGGTGGCACTGTCCCCGAAGAGGAGGTCGCCTTGCTAAGAGACCCCCGGCAAAATGCCAGGTGGCAGCACGCCATCTTTGTGAAAGTCAACAATAAGACCACAGCTGTGAGCCCTCTAAAGAGGCCACGGAAGCCACAGAGGGGAACAGGAGGCAGGAGGGGGCAGGAGGGGGCAGGAATGGCTCCGCTGCAAACATCCATCTTCCTTGCGGACACCGGCCAGTGGCCCTCCTTCCACCAACTGCCCGGCTCCCCAAACCTTTCTTGGAGAGGAGGTAAAGAGATGGGGAGACCCTCCCTCAACAAGGCTGAGACACCTGCTGTTAGGAGCTCCAGGCCCTGCTTGGTTGATCTCCAGAGCCAGGCACCCTGCTCCAAGCATCTGTCCTTCTTCAAACTGTATCAGCCGCACTGGTGCCCAGCTACCCAGCGGTCTTCCTGACAGAGCCACAGGGGACAGACTGTCCCATCCTTTCCCCCCATTGGGGTCTGTTCTAAAGATCACCCAGGTGGCTGCTCAGAGAAGCTGAAAGAGAAGCTCCACCCTCCCTATGCACCTTCACAGGGAAGCCTAAAGAGCTTCCCTGAGCCCCACACTCAGTCAGCAGAAGGGTCCTCCTCATACTTGGAGCCCATCTCCATGCATAAGGGAAGGGCAACTTGAAAGAATCCTGTGGTTGGAAAGGAGAAAGCCTTGACCTCAAACACATGGCCTCAGCACCAAGTGCAGGAGAGGCCTTGATGATGGGAAATGGGCTGGCTTCCCAGGCATCTGTCACTTCTGCAAGGAGCTTCTACGGTTCTCTAAAGAGGGAAACTCTGGCCACCACCCGAGGACAAGGTCAGGCCCGGGCCACACTAGCCAGTCGGCCATGTATAAACCCATGAGACCCTTCCTTCAACTCAAGGAGGCACCAAAGAGTTGGGGTTGGCTTCCATGGCATGGGGTTGGCATGCTGAGTGAAACATCAGGCTCCTCTCCTGTCTCCTAGACATGGCCATGGAGGTGAGGACAGAGGCAGAATCCACATAGATCATCACATACGTCTTTGTTATTTTAAACAGAGTTTCCAGTGTAAAAACTTGTGGGCTTATTGCATCTACCCCACAGATGGTTTATCTTTTTCTTTCCATCTGACCTTCCCCAAGGGCATGGGGCTGCTAGTTTGTTAATTTCCAATGCCCAGTCCTTCTAGATGTACAGGGAGAATCTCCACCAATATATAAATACCCCAAATGGAGAGCTTGCGGAGTCCCCTTCCCTTCCAAACGTGTGGCTGCTCCCTGGCCCTTGAGGGAAGACATCAACTTCAACCCCTCAGATTGGCGACTCCCCTGATGTTCCTGCCCTCGAGCAGCGCACCTGCAAGCCCCATGGTGCTGGTGCTGGTGGCTCGGAATTCAGTTCCATGTGAATATCAGGTAGGCACGTGGATACGTACCATGTGAGCACACACGCTTACATGTGCATGCATGTGCTCATGTGCGTGCACACACACACATTTTGGGTCCTCATAACAAAATTTAAAAGTCCTTGTGAGTAAAAGAAAGGAGTGGAGCATGGGGATCCAGGGATGGGGAGTTGTCTGTGGCCTTCTCCATTCTGCTCCGGGCAATAGATGGTGGCTCTCGGCGGGAGCTGGAGAGGTCTATATGTACACGTTTCCATGGAAGGAAGGTGCCCAGCTTCCTGTGCGTCTTCTCGTGTCAGCGGCGGCCCCTGTGGTGTCTGGATCCCCTCCCTCATGTGGCTCAGATTGTTGCTGGGGTCTCGGCCATCTCCTCCAGCCTCTGCCGGATCATTAGCCGGAGCACTGTGTACCTGAGGACAGGAAGAGCTACGATGGGCCGCAGAAAACAACATATGCCTCCTCTTGATCTTCCCCCACCGCCCGGGTCCCAGGGGCCACCTGTCGGTGCCTTTGTTTCTATCACTGGCCCAGCCATCAGCCACCCTGTGGCCTGTGTTCATTTCCACACCCGGATGAGAGGAACTGAGCAGACCCAATCCAAACTAGACGATTTGACGACCGTTAGAAACTCTGGCCAAAGAAGGACCGGAGGGCAAAACAGACAGCACCACCAGGAAGGACTGCATGAACCAAGCGCTTACTGTGCCCAAGGCACCACGACACAGTAGCGCGGGATCCTCACCGGGGCTGGACCATCTGAAATTGCCGTTCTTTGACCATCGTGAGGAGCCTACAAAAACGGCAGCTTCATATGGTTCGAGCTAATATCAGTCCCCGCATGTTGCAGAACAGACCAGAGCAACTCCCAAGCGTGGGGGTGCATGGCTTGACGAGGGCCGGTCTCCACCCCTTCCCTGAACTGAGCCAGCGCAGAAGCTGCAGTGCGAACCTCTGTGCGGGGCTCAGGGGGCCACTCCTGATGGCCAGGGCTTTGCACCGCCCGGCACAAGCTCTCTTTAAAGTTTGGCGCATTTCAAGTGTTCAGTAAATGTCAACTGCTTTCATACTAGCGATCATCATTGCCAAAGCAAATGGAGCATCGGTGCTATTCCCCAGGGGCAGAAATCAATCAATCGTTCGGCTGTGTCCAAGCAAAGCAGTCCACTTTATGACTAAACACGGCAAAAAAAAAAAAAAAAAATCATAAAATTCTCCCTAACGAAATAGGGTGAAATAGATGAAGGGGATTAGGAGGTACAAACTTCCAGTTATAAAATAAAAAGTCACAGGGATGATGAAAAGTGGAGCGTCGGGAATACAGTCAGTAAACTGTAATAACATTGGATGGTGACAGATGGGGACTACGCTTATCATGGTGAGCACTGAATAATGTATAGAATTGTTGGATCGCTATGCCAGACGCCTGAAACAAGTATAACACTGTATGTCAGCTACACTTCAATCATAAATTAAAAAAAAAAATCCTCGCCAGAGAGAGGCTTTACTGACGTTTCAAGCCAACTGTAATTTCCAGAAGAGAAATGTTAAAGAAGGGAGAAGGGTAGGAGGAAAGGATTTCAGAGGTAGGTTGCTTAGACTACTTTCCACTGCTAAGACAGCCTTCCTGAAATCCCCGGAACATTTTGATGTCCCACATCAAAATGAGAAGCTGACACAGGAAACAAAGAGACCAACACACTTAAGCTTCGTGTCCCCATCCACATTTGTCACGGGAAGCCCCCGGAAGAAGGTCCACGGCACCCAGGCCCACACAGCCGCTCAGCATAGTCCCTGGGAGACACCCGAACAGAGAGCCGGCTCCCTGAGGCCCCGGGAGAAGCCCAACCAGCCGCCCTGGGGCCACGCATACTTGCGCATCAGCTTCTTCACTTCCCGATCTTCTTCCTCTTGGAGCTTCTGGATGAAGCTTTTTAGGACGGGCATCTCAAACTTTATGTACTGGGCCACCTGGGGAGGAAGAAGTCAGTCTGGGGTGCATGCACGCCCCCTTCCCAACCATATTCCAATTCCTTTTGGTGCCTCTCTCATGTAAGGCACGAAAGCACGGGAAACCTATTTCTGCACTGATCCAGGATTTTGTTAAAAGCAATAGCCAAGCCTCGTTCTTCTCAAGGCTGCCATAGAGTTTGCGGTGAAGATCACTCCCTATCTGTGACACATATCTCAGAACTTCTCATCTCTCGTCCCATGTGTCCAGTGCACGACAAGGTGATTATCAAACGTGGAAAAGCACTCTCTCGATGCAGTGATGCAGAGAACACCTGAACCCACAATATTCAATAAACCTCTCTGTTCTCCCCTAAGCGGATTTAGGGAACCATGGCTCAGGATGATGACTTGCATCTGGAGTCTCAAGCGGGCATCCAAATGAGAACTTGCTCCGGAGAGGCTGTGTGGGGTGAGGGTGGCCCCCAGGTGAACTGAAGTTCAACAGCTGTCCCCCCTCCTCCACAAGAATCCCCACCCTACTCAATCAACTCTTTTCCATGGGAAAAGCCTATTAATGTGGAGCTGCTATTATATTTATGACTTGCTTTGGTCAATGGAATGTGTGTGGACACACTATAAGGTACATTTGAGTGCAGGCTTCTGATGAGCTTACGAGGTTTGGCCTTGTGTCTTGCACTCCTGGGATCTGCCATGGGACGTGTACCCCAGGGAGCCACCACCCCTCATGCCTGGGTCTCTGAATGAGACATGCAATGCACACCTGCACTCAACCCCCAACCTGGAGCAGAGCTGCAACTACCAGCCTGCAGCGTCCTGAGCAAGAAAGTGCACGTTTGCTGTTGCAAGCAGCTAGGATTTGGAGATGTTTGTTACCGTAGCAAAAGCTGACTAACAGGTAAGATAAGGTAAAATCACTGCAAACAGCTTGAAGTTGCTAAGAGAGGTCTGCAGAAACTTCTCAGCCCATACAGTACCCTAGAAAGATTGAAGACATTTACTCTATGTAAACCATTTTGTGCCTGAGCATTCCCCCCAATAACTCCCCCCAGGGGATACCCTCTGCCTAGCCTCTGCATTCATTCTCCCTGCCTCATGACCATTCCTGCTTCAAGAAAACCTGGTATTAAAAAAAAAATTAA